GTAGAGACGGGGTTTCACCATGTTGACCAGGATGGTCTCGATCTCTTGACCTCGTAATCCACCCGCCTTGGCCTCCCAAAGTGCTGAGATTAAATGTTGCAGTAAACAGTTGGCTTAGTTGTGCATCAGTTTTCAGTCCAATTTAATTTTAAATTAGCTCTTTGCTGGTAGCCTCTTCATGACCTTAAAATGGCCACAAATCCTTTATATAACAGGCCGTGTTTGACTAAATATATAAACAGAGGGCCTGATGTGGTGGCTGATGTCTGTAGTCCCAGCACTTTGGGTGGCTGAGCTGGGCGGATCACCTGAGGTCAGGAGTTCGAGACCACACTGACCAACATGGAAAAACCCCATCTCTACTAAAAATACAAAATTAGCCAGACATAGTGGTACATGTCTGTATTCCCAGCTGCTTGGGAGGCTGAGGCAGGAGAAACGCTTGAACCCAGGAGGCGGAGGTTACAGTGATCCGAGATCATGCCATTGCACTCCAGCCTGGGCAACAAAAGCAAAATTCTTTCTGAAGAAAAAAAAACAAAACAAAACAGATGTATCCTTACAGACTTTATAGTTTGATAGAGGAGATACAAATGCATATTGTGAGGGAATTCGGCGCTGAAGGTTATCTGGGAAGAGAAGGTGATTCTATAGAATATCAGAATGGGAGAGGAAAGACATCTGGCTGGAGGGGAAAGCAGGAGCAGAGGCATGAAAGGAGTTAGAGAGACCATGGGGGATTTCAGTCCCAGCCAAAAGTTAGCCACTTGTTTGTTTCATTCCTTCCTTCCTTTCCTTTCTTTTCATCTTCTGTCCTCCTTTGTGAGTGTGTTTATGTGTAGCGTGGGATGAGAACACCTACCTCAGGGGTGAGCTTAAATAAAGTGAAGTGATTCGTAGGCTCCTGGTATTCAGTAAATGCCCAGTTGATATTGATGATGATGTCACCACCGCCAGCACCACCTGTAGTTTCCTATGGCTGTTCTGTCTAGGGATGAATTTGGAGGCCACATTTTAAATTCTGCATATAACATTAAGCTGGTTGGTGTTTAATTTGTAGGTAGGGGGAAGCCATTGAAAGGTAGGGACAGGATTGGACCTGTGTTTTAGAACAGCATTAACGGGGGTTTGGAGGAATCTGCCCACGAAGGAACTTTAATCTCCAGAGTCTAGCCTGTTAGAGAAGCTGGTGAAGTCATTCGAGGCATGAAGTATTGGTCTGAAGTCACAATATTTAATGTTACGTTAAATGTGCTTTTTTTTTTTTACTGAAGGGAGAAGGGAGAAAGGATTTATTTAACGTGAATATTATTTTATCCAAATGTTGAGAGAATAGATGGAGACTAGTAAGGCATTTTTGTACCATTTGAGATGTTAGATTATAGTAGCATCTTAACAAAATAGGCAGATTTTTAAAAAAACTAGATTATATTTGTTTGTAGTTGTTTATGTTTGGGCCTGTCTGGATATTTGAATTACCATTACTTGACACAGGCAATAAGGAGAGAAAAGAATGCCTTTTCCTGCTTTTGGGTTTGTTTGTTTGTTTGTTTCGATGGATTCTCCCACTGTTGCCTGGGCTGGAGTGCAATGGCGTGATCTCGTGATCTCGCATGTTGCTCCCTGCAACCTCCACCTACTGGGTTCACGCGATTCTCCTGCCTCGTCCTCCTGAGTAGCTGAGATTAAGGAGCGCACCACCACACCTGGCTAATTCTTTGTTTTTTTTTTAGTAGAGACAGGGTTTCACTGTGTTGACCAGACTGGTCTCAAACTCCTGACCTTGTGATCTGCTTGCCTCAGCCCCCCAAAGTGCTGGGATCACAGGCTTGAGCCACTGGGCCCGGCCTCCCCCACCTGCCAGATGGAGTGTTGCACTGTCGCCAGGCTAGTGTGGGGTGGCACGATCTCAGCTCACTGCAGCCTCTGCCTCCTGGGTTCAAGCGATTCTCCTGCCTCAGCTTCCCAAGTAAGTGGGACTAGAGGTGTGTGCCAGCACACCTAGCTCATTTTTGTATTTTTTTTTTTTTTTTTGAGATGGAGTTTCGCTCTTGATACCCAGGCTGGAGTACAATGGCGCGATCTCGGCTCACCGCAACCTCGGCCTCCTGGGTTCAGGCAATTCTCCTGCCTCAGCCTCCTGAGTAGCTGGGATTACAGGCACGCGCCACCATGCCCAGCTAATTTTTTGTAGTTTTAGTAGAGACGGGGTTTCACCATGTTGACCAGGATGGTCTCGATCTCTTGACCTCGTGATCCACCCGCCTCGGCCTCCCAAAGTGTTGGGATTACAGGCTTGAGCCACCGCGCCCGGCCCTCATTTTTGTATTTTTTAGTAGAGACAGAGTTTCACCATGTTGGCCAGGATGGTCTTGATTTCTTGACTTTGTGACTTGGCCTCCCACTGCACCTGGCCAGATTTTTTTTTTGGAGGGAGGGGTTTGAATCACTTTCTTTTTGCTTTCTCTGGAGCGTAATTGTAGACCCATAGATTTTTATGTATCCAATGTGTGTGGTTTTTTTTTTTTTTTTTTTTTTTTTTTTTTCATTGTTTTTTTTTGAGACAGTGTTACTCTGTCACCCAGGCTGGAGTGCAGTGGTGCGATCTCGGCTCACTGCAACCTCCACCTCGGTTCAAGCAATTCTCCTGCCTCAGGCTCCTGACC